CAGAAGAAAATTATGGAGACTTCCTAAAACTTTCCAAAAATTCCAGCACCCCTTTGGTTTTCGCCATTATGAGACCCTGCAAGAGAGAGCAAAGTGTCAGTGTGCCGCTTGCTGTGTTGCATAGAAGCAAAGCTGCTGTTTCAGACACAGCTGGGATCTGTCTGATCAAGTCCTCGGCTGGAGCCTCGCAGGGCACGGGAAGCAGCACAAGCGCTGGGAGCCTGCGTGGGCTGCGTGCGCGTGCAGGCGCCTTAGGGGCGGCGCAACGGGCTCCTGGGGGGCTGTGCGTCGTGCCCGGCGCAGACCGACTCCTGCACCAAGGCCCTGGGACACACGGAGCTCTGCTTGCAACTTTAAATGAGACATGACGGCCTCTCAAATAACAGCTGCCCTGTAGTAGGGTTTGTGACTGCTGATGGCAGACCTGTGCCAGCTTCCACTGCAAAGTTGTGTTTTTTTCAGCCAGTTGTTTAAAACCTGACATAAATGTGAGCTACCCCACGTATTTTTCAGAGGGCTCAGAACAAATACAAATTTCGCTTCCTTCCAGTCGTGCTGAAACATTTTTTCCACAAGCCTCGTGAAGCTAAGGTGACAGGACTCACACAACCGCTTTATTTCCCAACAGGAGGCTCTCCCTGCACAGTTACTTGCCAATACTTGTACTGTGATGGAGGCAAACTACTAAATGTACCGCATTTGTGCTAGGAGATAACAGGCAGCTGTGAGTTCTGCACCCATGTGGATAGAAGGGTTTTTTTTTTCCTCAAAATATTCCTCTTCTATTCATGTTCTTACTGTTTTGTCTAGTGGATGCCAAGAAGATTTAGATCAATTTTGCAAAGGCAACAGACAAAGAAAAGAGAAATTCTCTGGTGCTTCACACAAAATGTTTCTGGTGTAACCAGTCTCTCTCTGCTCATTTGGGATTTTTTCTTTCTTTCTTTTTTTTTTTTTGTAGGTTGGAGCTATTCCCACAATGCAAACAGAGATAAGTCTGCAAGGTGACTATTAAATAGAGAAAGCCTGTGTGTCAGTCAGAATATAAGAACATAAGCGTGATGTGAGACTGAATTGAACTGGTATTTTCTAAACTCTGCAGTATTTTAGTAGTATTTTTACTTGTTTTTTTTTCTCGTGAAGAAAGAGTATAATCCAGAACAAACCTCTAGGTGTGCATGTATATATACTTAGTATATATTTTTATTTTGACATTTTTGACATTTATTTGACATTTATTTTGACATTTTTGATATTTTATTCTGCGATTAGAGAATTCTTCGGCAGAGGAGCAAAGTTTTGAGGCTTCTTCTATATCTTCGGCTTGCACCTTCCCATCATCTTTTTTCCCTTTTTGCCTGAGCAGCCCCGTGCAGAGCAGAGCTGCCCTGTGTGTGTCTGCGTTCCCCGCGCAGCCGTGTGCTTTACGGGCGCAGAGGTGCGAGGCGCCGGCCGCAGCGCCGGGGTGAGGGTGCAGCAAGGCTGGCTATCTAGTGCTGGCTATCGGCGTGTGCTGCCTGCCACCCACCTGCGGGCTGGGCACCTCCGCGCGGCCACCCCTGCGGTGCCGGAGTCGCTCCCTGGCTGGCAGAGGCAGCTTGGCCCTCTCTTCAGGTGCGGGTCGGCCGCGAGTCTGTTCCAGCCGCAGGAGCAGCTGGCGCGGTCAAGGGGAATGTTTGGTCTGAGGAGGGATGGCGTGAAAAGCGGATAACAGACCGTAAGTCTTGATAATATTTTTGGCTGGATCTGAGAGAAAGGTTGTGTGTCCAGTTCCTGAGCCAGGTGATTGTGAATGTTGAGAAGCGAGATGATGAAATGCTCTCCTGAGGTCAGTTCAGAACCGCTGGCTCATTTGGCTGAAAATTAATTGTTAGATATTTTATCTGTGGGTTTTTTTTTTGTTTTTTGTTTTTTGTTTTGGAGCTGGTTGGACTGATCTGGTTTTCAGTGGAGCTATGAGACTGCAGTTAGTAAGAAAGAAAAGAGAGAATTCTCGCTGTTGTCAGTAAGGTGGTTTGGCATTAACCTAAGCAGATCAGGCAACTGCACTTCAAACTATATGAAATCATGAGCGCCGTCATCCTCCAAATGGTGTGTGCTGAAGGCCGGGTTAATGTGGCTTTTGTTTTTTTCCCTTTCATTCATAGGCATGATATCCTAAGACGTCCCGTGGTTTTCAATTAAGAATCTGTTCTGATTTGTGCAAAAAGCATTCAGCTCTACAGCAAATTGTTATTTCCTCAGTCAGCAGCCTTTAATGTTTTCATACTGTAAATGTATAAATTGAAGTGTATGAGGATGGATATATTATATCCTGCTCATTTTTATGAGCTCTCAGAAAGAATGCTTTGAATGTGCCAAGGATTGAGTTTTTTTTGTAAGCCTCATATATTTGTCCAGCATAAATGTTTATTGTTTCCAATCAAATTCTCTTTCAGAAATTGTTGCACCTAAAATGGTCTTTATTTCTAACAGCTGATAATAAAGTCTTTCATAGTTTCTTAAAATGCAAGTTTTGAACTTCTGGTATCAGAAGTGATCAAATCCAAATGTAAATCTAAGGTCAGATTTAGTATTAAAGTTTTGATTTTGGAGCTTTTTATGTTTAGCTACTGCCTTGGTCTTCAAAAGAGATGTAATGGCTGCTAAGGCTATTTGGTAATGTCACCTGTCTAATAGGTTGAGAGTCTTGGTAATCTTTAGGAAGTGCTTATTTGCTGGGGACAAACTGGGGTTGGATCTGGAAGTGAAAACCTGAAGACTGGAAAAATATGGCGCTCATGACTCAATATAATTTCCTAGTGAATTGATATAACGTTATGAATAAACTCAAGGACATTGCTGCTTTTTTGCCACTATCAGTTTGATTTCTTTTTATGCCATCATGTCATCAACTGTAGTTGATAGGAATTTGGAACCACTTATTACGTGTTGCATTGCTTCCCTGTCAACCTCAGCATTTTCAGCTGGAAAATACCGCCCCAAATACCCAAACACACCCAAATTCACAACTACCTCGTACAAGATTCTTTTATACTGTAAACAGAGGCTCTCTGCGAATATCATTGTGTGAAAGAATTGCCAGCTGAGACCCTTCACCTTGCAGAGCAAGGCTTTTTAAACAGTGCTGCCTGAGTAGCATTCTGCAAAAAATCGTTCCCCAGGTGCAGTTTGGCACTGAAAGTGGAGCTGAGGTCAACTCTTACTTTTTGGTTTCAGTGACTTTGTATTATCATGCAAAAAGCCTTTAACAATCAGAGGAAGGGTGTATGTTGGAATGTGTAATTACCTGCTACAGTCAGACTTTCCTGTGTGTGTGTTTTTCTTATAAATTCATATCTTGATCACTTGCACAGTAGTTTCTCTAGCAAATGAAATATGAACAAGTGTTACTTTAATTACATAATGCTACTTTTTACACAACCTGCTCTAATTGAGATGAGCATCGTAGGAGGAAATATGACTGTAAGATGCTGTAGACTTTAACACTTCAAATAACAATATCGTTTTCTAAATTAGCATGGATGTTACATTTTACTAGCAACAGTTAAATTGGTAATCTCCAAATTCATAATGTAAAAATCAATTGATACCAGTTGTACCTAATATTTTTTGTCTGTGTTGTGATGCAAAGGAATTGATTTGGAGAAGAAAGTGAGTTTTGCGTGCATATCTGGATTCTATACATAGCCACTTTCCAAAATGTTTCCAGCCTAAGAAAAGCAATTCAGCTTTTGATTTGAACTCCAGTATACTTATTTGGCAGAAGTGATATTGGTTTGTGGGGAGATAGCAAGGACAGATACTTGCTTTTGTTGTAAGGGCTGGAGTCCTTGCTTAGTAAGGCTTGAGGCTTGTGAGTAATGTGGACTTAATGATCAGTAGTCAGAAGGAGGTAGTTTTGAGTTTCTTGTTTGACTTGCAGTAAAGAGAACTTGTCCCAAGACTAAATCTATTGGCAGGTTGCATTAAAATGAGCAGTTCATGCATCTTCAGTAGGACTATGGCAAACGACAATTCTCTGTAGGAAAAGAGAGTCTCAGAAACGTGTCTGAGTTGCTTGTAAAGTTGAGAAAAGAACAAGAGTTGGCATGGCCTGTGTTGCACATGTATGTACAGCAGATGTGAATAAAAGATCATGTGAGCTAATCAGACAGATTTCATAAAGGCATTTTCTTGCCCGAGGTGACTTAGTCCCATCTAGTCGGGCAGCAGAATTAATTTAGCAGTAGGACGAGGTTGGGATTTTTCACCTTAAGCAGCAGTCCCATTGCTGACTGAATTCACATAGGGGCCAGTAACGGTATGGCATATGGGTGCTCTGTCTGCAGCTTACCCACACAGTGGGTATGTATGGAGCTGCCACCTCCTGCGGGTGAGCTGGGAGGCTGCAGCAGGGCTTTCTGTTTGCTTACTTCTCCATTTAGTTTATTTACTTTCTCGTTCATTCTCAAGTCAATGCTTTTTGGAAGTCTTAGTAGCAGGCTGGTGCATTAGGTTGGTGCCCTGGAGAAGCTGATTTGAAGCTGAAGTCCTTTATGCCTAGAGAGGGGCTCGACAGAGGAATTTTAAAGCTGTAAAAGAAAAAACATTTTGCAGTTTTGATTTAGAGTATCTGATGCCTTGGTACTTTGCTAATAAGCACTGCTTATTTTTGAGTTGTTTGTTTTTGAGTGATGAATTCCTTGGTACTTTGCTAATAAGCACTGCTAATGTTTTTGAGTGATGAATGTATTTGTCTGTTATGCTTAAAATTTGTGTGCTTGAATAGACTAGAACAGGTTTGAGACTCAAGAATGGATTGTATTGGATTCTCCAACTTCAGTGTTTTTAGGAATACAAATGAGCAATACTATGGGCATACTGTGAATGCTGAACAGACAGAAAACTTCTGAACAGACAAACGGTAGCTGAATGACGTTAAATTCTTATCTTTACAAATTGTGGGTATAATTTGGAGATTGTCTAATCTGATGGACTGTTGACTTGTCTTGCAGGTGGATTCACCAATGAACTTGAGGAACCCACATGATTTGGTAATACTAATGAGACAAGAAACAACCGTTAACTACCTCAAAGAACTGGAGGTAAAGCTAACGTTAAGTATTTATTCATTTCTGAAGATTCAAATCCCCCCACCCTCCTACTGCTCTGGCTAGGGCATTTGAGGGATCATTTTGCTTTTGTTTTCTTCAAGCCCCTTTATTTTGGAATGACTCTTTTGAAAAGATCTTTAATGAACTTTAAAATAACAGCTGTCTTTTAAAATGCAGTTTAATTGTGGTATGGGCTGGGCAAGAGCTTGCAGACTTGTCCTCGCCATGTCCTGCTCTTGTGCAAGTTTTGCTTTTGTCACATTAGCTGAATTAGCTAATTGAGAAGCTAGGGAAGGAGCAGAGTTACCTCTAGGTAAATGGGAGATGGGGAAGGGAAAATTGCTCCTTGTATGAAGGTATTAGGTCAGCCTTTATCACCGGGCTATATCCATGTTTCTGTAGTAATTTAGTTATGGATAGAAAATTAATTGCAAGTTCTTAGGGCACATACTGTGAATTTGTAAATGAATAATATCCAATTTGCAGCATAAAATTATTTGTATCAGAAGGTCTTGTCTTAGATGCTATTACTGTATGCATCTCTAGTATCACATCATAGCATGCTGAAGAATGTGTATGATTTTTTTTTTAAAAAAAAAAAAGCAAAGTTAAAGGGCTATATTCTCTTCCTATTTCATGCATACAAATCCTTCTGGTATTTAATGGGTTTTCTGTCTGCGGATCTAAGTGGGAATTTAATATGCCTTACTGTGCAGGAGCAGATTGTTCATCCATTGAGTGCTAGTGGTGATCAATATCCATGTGCTTTATGAGGTACAGCCCGTATTGCTTGTCATAGGCTGGTTTACAGGAAATATTTTCAGTCTTGAATCTTGCATTGGCTTGTGCAACCTCAGTTGTACTTAGCATACTGAACAGCTCTTCTTCTTTAAACTGCCTACAGTGAATTTGGCGTGGTATTTGCCCCCTTAGGAGCAGGAGGAGAAATAAGGGCTATCTTCCCTCTAAATATTAAAAAAAAAAAAATCCCTAAAACACAAGGAAATGCTTCCAAAGTTTTAAGAGACCCTTTCAGATTTTCTTCAAATGAACTGTATTTTATGTAGGAAAAAGTTGAATTGTTCAGCTCCTAGCAATTGCAAAGCCTGTTCTTGTCACCATACATTCTCCTGTTTTCTTTTTTTTATTGCTACAGAAACAGTTAGTTGCTCAAAAGATTCATATAGAGGAAAATGAGGACAGAGACACAGGGCTGGAGCAAAGGCATAATAAAGAGGATCCGGACTGCATTAAAGCAAAGGTGCCCTTGGGGGACCTGGATTTGTATGATGGTACATACATCACCTTAGAGAGCAAAGATATCCGGTAATGAGACTCTTTATATTTTAAGATTTTTTACTGAATTCTTGAGAAACAGCTTTTCTGTGTGTTAGTATTGAATGAAACGATGTGTTTGCCACTAATTTTGCGGGGGTATTCTATGCAAATACTGTTGCCTGCCTCCCCCAAACTCATGTGTGTTGGTGCTACTGTGAAGCACCTCTGCTCCACTGCCAGGCTTCCAGACACTTCTGCCTACGCATCTCTGGAAGGGTAGGAGCACGTATGTGAATTAACCTCAAATGCATCATGTGGAAGTGGACTGGATTTACCCCTTGGGCTTAGCAAGTAAAGAATGTGTGGACATTCTTTAAGCATTCAGTTTTCCTGGTGATTGATCTTTAGGACTGAGGTTGGGGCGGGTTTTTTGTTTGTTTGATTGTTTGTTGTTGTTTTTGTTCTTCACCTAAATGAATGAGTACTTGAAGTCAGAAAAGACTATTTTTAGTGATAGGTAGTCTTCAGCTACCTTCATTTGGGCTTCTCCCTGATGTTGTGGGGTTTTTTGGTTTATTTGTTTTGGCTTGTTTTTGTTTTGCTTTCCCAAATGAAGAGTCTTTTAATCTGCATGCATTGTCATTGCCTTGCAGACAGGTGATTAAATATAGTACTAGTACACTAGGTTGGTAGTGATATATTTTGGAGACTATCCAAACATCAGTGGTTTTTGTAAGACTGATTGCAATTTATTTACTTTATCTTGGAGTGATAACATCCAGCTATGGCTCAAATTTGGGAAGACATTAGAAATGGTCTAATGTGCTCAAAAACAAGTTTTTTTATTATTTTGTTTGAAGCTGGCCGTCAAGCCAGAATACTCTTTGCCTGTCTACTACAGTAATGTCTTTTATGAACTTTAGCAGCATTTTAATGATTCTGCTATGTTATGTTTTCAGCCCTGAAGACTATATAGACACAAAGTCTCCTGTGCCTCCAGATCTGCAGCAGCCAGACTGTACAAAAGTTCTAGATCTTCCATACAGCATTCATGCTTTTCAGCATTTACGGGTAAGCAAGCAAAGGCAAGATGTTTCTTCTTTCCCCATCAGGAAGAGGAACAGAAAACTCTTGTTGGCTGTCCTCAGTTGAGGTTGAGAAAGGTATTGTAATCTTTTGAGATTGCTTTGGACTTGTTTAAAAACACACTTGTGCCCTGATTAAAGTACCTGCTTGTGGGAGGATGGTTACACCAGATAGACAGATCTTGTTTGCCCATTCTACTGGTTGTCTTACGTTAGAGGGCGTTTTAGAAACTCCGTATTTTTAAAACAGACATGTTGTCGGTATACATGGCAGCTTTCAAGGGAAATGCTCGTTTTGTAACTCGTTTCTGTTCAAGTGCTGAATAGGGTCATTAAACTGCATGGAAATTAATGATCAGAAAACTGTTTACGGGCTGATCAGCAGCTCATTACATATTTCTCTCTCTCTTTGATATCTAAATGCCAAGTTTTAACCTGCAAGATAAAATAAATATGCTTTACTGATAGAAACTCAATCTGCTCTAACACTAGTTAAATGGAAGTTTAATGAAACAATTGTCTTCTCCCAGAATACTTTGAACAAATATTCTAATGTAGGCCTTGCTTTAGTGCTCTTCTCTTGGTATTAATTTTATTACAAGTCTTTAAAATCTTTTTAAATCTAAAAGTAAGGATTTTTAGTGAGCAAAACTGGGACTAAAGCTCTTTGGCTGTGTTCTTCAGTTTGCAGGTAGCTTTGAAGTTAGTTCCTTGTTTTTGTTGGGGAAGGAAAAAAGGGAATAAAAGATGCAGGGGTGCCTTCATAGTGTCCAGCCTGAGTAACATGAGTTAAATGGTGCAGTCCTTGCAAGTGAAATCAATAGCTGCCAAACATTCAGTGCCACCGTAAATCAGTACTTGACCTTTAGCACTTGCAGTCAGAGATGCTTTTGGAAGTATCGATGTTAATGACTGCTTCTAGTATTTGCCTGACTGTAATCATATGTATAATTCATCTGTCGAACTATCACCGATGACATTATCCTGTCAAGAATCTTGATAGGAAGGGAAGATAGGAATATAAAGTAATTGTACTGCAAATTTTCTCCAAAGTCATTTTCTTTTGTGCATTGCTTCTGTAATTTTAGTAAAAGTATCAACAAATCCATATGTTTGATTTTCATTTTAGGGTGTTCAAGAAAGAGTTAATCTTTCCGCACCCTTGTTACCTAAAGAAGATCCAATCTTCACGTACTTATCCCAGAGGCTGGGAAGAAGTATAGAGGAAATAGGTCATCGTATTTATGAAGGACTAATGAAGGTACGAAGCTGTAAACTTACTGTACACAGGAAGAATGCTAGAAAAGTCTCTCAAAAGTCTCTGCCTGGTTCATGCAGCCAGCTCCAATACTAGTTCTGCATGTATGTTTTGATTTTGATTAGAAAAGGGAGAGTTTCAAATAGTGTTTTATACTGCACTAGCAGAGGTATAAGAAGCCACCAGCAAATCTAAATGGATATCTCATTTCATCTTAATTGGCTTATGTGTTAGTGACATTGCTCTTGTCTTGATTGCTTTTTCAAGGTAATAAAAGGCTTTAAAAGTGCAGGAACTTAACAAGCAAAGAAGAAACAATAGTACCTAAAGATACATTAAGTGCCTTTTTGCAAAATAAGTAAATTCTCATTTAACTGCCAAACTATGCCACAGATGCTTAAACTTCTATCACTTCTCATTTCATCCCATTTGGAATTTGCACCTTTGTATGAAAAGCAGAAATTAAGTTTGGTTTTGTTTTGATGCATTTGTACGCTGATTTGTTCTTCCTGAACTGCCAAATGGTAACTCTCCCCAAGATGATGATTGGAGCCAATTGGTGCACAATTTTCCACCAATAGTAGTTAAAGCCCTGATTGGCTTTTTAGCTTACACCTTGGTGGTTACTGCAGTTTGTGTGTTTGCTTGCTGCAGAACTCTTCTTCCTGGGTGCTCTACAATATGGCTTCTTTTTACTGGCGAATAAAGAATGAACCATATCAAGTAGTAGAATGTGCCATGCGTGCCCTTCATTTCTCTTCAAGGTAAGAATTAAAACTTGGTGTTAAGAAATAATTCTTGTTATTTGCTTTTCCTTTTTATGTGCTGTACTGGGCAGCAGCCCTTTTGAGAATGGTTGGGAATACTTTTAAGAAATTCATTATTTGCAAAAGAACTTTTCTGGGATATAATCCAGGAACTTGCAAATAAGGAGAGAATAATAGCCTATCCCATTTCTTACTCGGGGCCTATGTTACATAGTCCAATTACTATGTTACTTTGCAGAATAGACTGGCAAATGTTTGGTACCTTTATCTATGAATGTCAAGAAGATGAACTATATATGTTTTGAAACTGTCTTAAGACTGACAATGGCAGTGGCAGGTTCATTGCAGCTTTTGGGAATCATTGCCTGCTGCTGTTACGGAAGTTGAGCTGTTTAAGTCATTACCTTAACATAAACTACAGTTCTTTCAGAAGGAAAAAAAATATGCTGTGTATCCCTAAGACCTGTGGTCAGAAATGTAGATGATGATGCTTTTTATGTGTTGCTCTTAAGTGAAGAAAGATTGGCCCAAAGTTGTGTGAAGATCGGTTTTGAAAAGACACTTGTGTTGCAGAAAAACCTAACTAAGAATTACGCTGACAGCAATATGAGAAAGTAGATCCATTTATAAGAGTTGAAATATTAATTTAGCTGTTTTCAGCTATAAGTAATGGGCATATAGTGCTTTGTGTAATTAATCATAGCGTTCCTATTGCATTTGGCCCAATAGTCAGCACCAAAAAAACCTCTTCTGTGCCGCAGTGGAGTAAGTGCAGCATTATGGTTTTCTTTAGAAAGCTATAAATTGAGTTTAATTTTTACCTTCTCAAGCATAAATGGAAATTAGCTGTATGTGACACTCTTCACAACTGTACGTAAATATGATTTGCCTGACAGCTGCAAGAATCTAAGCACTACTTCTTATGGCTTATGATTTAGCTGTCAGAAAAAGTCATCTCAGACAAATGGCCATATAGTTGAGGTGTTGTATAAGATGAGCAATCTAAGTTTGGCTTCCAAGCCAAAAATATGAATTCCACGATCTTAAAGCATTTATTCTTTTGCTTATCAGCCATGATAGAACAAGAAAGCTCCCCCACCCCCACTGTCCAGTATCCAATCACTATTATAAGGAAAGTCGGATTCTAATGGTGACTCTGTAGCAGATTCTGTAGGGCCTCTAAATAGTTTTTGTTGCTGCTGCGTAGCTTGAAATAGTGTTACTTCAGCAAACAAAAGTGACAGACACCTGTACAATATTGCAGAAGATATATATATTTAAAGTAAGGAAATGTCTGTTCATTTTTCAGGAGACAAAGCACTGGGAGAATCAATACTTAAGAATATTAGTTTCCCTTTGTTTGACCCTCAGTTTTGAGGGGGTGAAGTGTGACAAACTACATGACTGCTACTCAAATTGCATATTTAGTGTATGAATCTGGAACATGTTCTTATGCATGATGCTTGCACGTCCATACCTTCTTTTAAAGTCTTTTTTTTTTTTTTTTTTCTTTCAGGCAAAATAAAGATATTGCATTGGTAAACTTGGCAAATATTCTACACCGGGCACACTTCTCTGCAGATGCTGCTATTGTGGTCCATGCTGCTCTGGAATACAGCGACTACTTTACCAGCTATTACACTTTGGGAAATATATATGCAGTAAATAGAATCTTTATTTTCCATGACTTGTGTAAAAACAAATAATTTTTAGTCATTCTGGTTAAACTTATAATGCTTTTCTCTTTTATGATGTGTCTTGTGTTCCACATGCCTTTTATGCTTAATATTTAAGGCATTTTTTTCATTTTGTTTTCTTCCAAAAGGTTGGTCTTTCAACAAGCAGAACTTGTAATAGCCATTTGAAATAAGTCTCAGATAAATTCTCTCAAAAGTTCCTCATAAGAGATAGGGTGGTCTGAATTTCAGAAAAGACGGACTGCTCATCATAGCAAATTAAAATTTCAGTTAATGATTTCAAGAAGAAAATTCCAGATATTTATGGCTAATCTCTCTTTCCTTTTCTTCTATCATTTTTTAGATGCTTGGGGAATACAACCACTCGGTGCTGTGTTACGATCATGCTTTACAAGCCAAACCAGGGTTTGAGCAAGCTATAAAAAGGAAACACGCTGTACTTTGTCAGCAAAAGCTTGAGCAAAAGCTGGAGGCTCAGCATAGGTAATTGAAGATTCTGACAATCTCTTTTTTTTTTTTTTCAGCAACCGCTTACATTTTCTTAAAAAGCATGATCTATAACTTTGTGCAATAAAATCATTCATAACAATACTGAAATCAATCAAAAATAAATGTACAAAGTGTAGGAAAAGGTGTTACTTAAGAAAAAACACAACCAAGGTAAACTTTTTTATCATCTAACTTTCAAGATCCCTTCAACGAACATTAAAGGAACTGAAGGAATATCAGAAGCAGCATGACCATTACCTTAGACAACAAGATGTCTTAGACAAGTATAAGCTCATCCAGGAGGAGCAAATCTTGAGGAACATCATACATGAGACACAAATGGCAAAAGAAGCTCAAATAGGTACAACTTCTGAGTTCATTAAAGTAATGAAGAATTGCACAGATTTGGAGTAATGCAAAGAATTAATATATTATGTTGAGTCTGAGTACAGTTTCATTTTGCTTATTAAACAAGTGATTACGATATGTTCTTAAACAAATATTTTTCATTCCTTCAAAAATGGATTTTACCCTGTGTGCCTATTGAGGGAAAAAAAAAAATCAATTTTTTTTTTTTTTTTTCTGTGTGCTGCTCTTGCTCCAAAACCTGACTTATGTCACAGAAAGAAATGTTTTGCGCTCTGCAGGGAACCATCAGATTTGTAGACTGGGCAACCAGCAGCACAGCTTGCACTGCCAGTGGGACCAGCCTGTTCGGTATCACCGTGGGGACATTTTTGAAAATGTGGAATATGTTCAGGTTTGTCCATGAATTGTTTCCATTGCTTTAAGTCTCATCCTGTCTCTCATTTGGTAAAACAGCTCATTTCTTTGGAGCTTGAAGAAGGAGGTATGTTTGTGATGTAATTAAGATGAGAAATGGTGTAGTCACTTGATCAGAGTTTAAGGGGCTTAATGCCAAATTGGCTTTTTTTTTTTTTTTTTTTTTCTCCTTGCAATACAAGCTGAGATCCACTGTGGATTATTGAAATGTTGAGCCTTACTATGTAAGGCTTTGGAGTTTTTGGCGTTTGAGAGTTAGTGGTGTTTTTTTGTTGTTTGTTTTGTTTTAAGGTTTATTTGCATTAAAAAGCCTTTACTTTTTACAGGTCTTAGGTTCCTCTGTGATACCAACTACTTCTATATTGTGTCCTCTGTTTTTTTGTTTGTTTGTTTTTCCCCTTTTTTTCACTCTGTGGAGCAACCAAGTGTCTCTTTCTAGGAAACACAGGAATCAAATCTCTCTTTTTTCCCTGCTAGAAGGAACACAAATCTGCAGTATGCAGATAGACTATTAGATAGTAGACAAATTGTGTGCTCAGAGAAGTTGTTAGTGTAGTTTCCTGAGTGTTTTTTAATTGAAGATACTAAATTAGCAAGTGCATCAAGAAGGTCTGATACAGTGATCAGACTTAGAAAATGATCTGTATGCTAACAGTGAAAATCCAAAGCTAAAGCCAACTGAACAGCACTGCTGTCTTATAACTATAGATAACGATATGGTTTGACTTATTTTGTAGTATAGAAATGTTCTGGAGGTTTTCATTAACTAGTTTAAGAAAGTAGGAATGGTTATTTTTAATTTAATGGTTTTTTGTTTGATTTTCTTGGGTGGTTATCAAGATAATTTGGCAAGCCAAGAGTGTTGGTAAATCTGGCTTGAATAGATATATGCTGTCTAGAAACTTTTTTTTTTTGTCTGGGCTTATTAGAAATGTTTATATAATTCATTTTAGCATTTTCTTGTTGAATAACAATTTCATTTTCATTGTTGACTTGTTCACAACTAAATGCTACTTTTCTCTGTTAAGAGTGGATCAAGAGGCTTAAATTTCCCATTTTTCCTCTTTTCTGCTATCTGTCTTTCAGCTCATCAGCTTAACTACGTAAATGGTGAGGGACAAAATCTCTTTTCCATATGAAGTATTCTTATTCTGCTTATCTTTTGTTTCCAGTTTGGTGAGGACTCTTCAACTTCTAGCATGACATCTGTGAATCTGGGTGTTCATGCAAACCAAAGTGACCACAGCCAGTCCTTGCAGTCTTCCCCTGTCGCTCGTTCCGTTGTTTCACTCTGGAGTGTAGAATCCCATCAAGTGAGTGAATGGGATAAGCTTTCGTCTCTCAAAGAAGAGTTGTAACAGTGTGTATCTTGTCCTTACTTGGGTAAAACTTCCTAGCAGTTGGTAGCCTAATGTTTGTGTGTGACAGCAGTGAAGAGTCTGTTATTTTAAATTTATTCAAAATGCAAGTTACTCGTTTCTCCCTACCAGTTTTCCATTATTTTGAATTCTCTTACAGTTTACATGGGAGTGTTCTTCAACTACTTTTGGAAATATCTGTGAATAAAGTATAGCTGAGTAAAGATAGAAAACTGAACTGCTGTTATTTCAGAAGAGAGGGAAAATAATTATTTTAAGGAAAGATCTTTGCTTTTTCTTCCAGATGATTCCTAATATTCTCATTAGCTTCATAAGTAAAAGATGAAAAGTGATGAGAAACTAATGAAAAAGAATTCATTTTATCTTTAGGATAAACAACATATTCTTTGGCCTAAGAGATCAGAGTGCATGAGATCCTTCCCAAAAATTCCTGATCCAGAAGAACTGCCAACTTACTTTCTGCCTCCAGAAAACAGAGGATTCAGGCAAGTGTGCAAGTGTTGATTTTAAAAAATGATACTTATTTGTAAGTTTTGACACAACTGATGTAGTTGCTGTCAAACTGGTGTCTGAACCATGCAAGGTGAGCATTTTCTTTCTGGAGAGGATGGATGCTGTTAGTCATGAACAGCACGGATATGTCTGTTTCTCTGTCAGCTTAACAGAAGCAATACTTTTCTTTCTGTGTGGTCTTTGCTACCACTGTAACTGTCAGGATTCATTCAAGCATAATTTAAGAACCTGCAGGGTCTTTTGTCTGTTAAATTGAGCTTTTTTTTACAGGTCTTGTGTTCTTAAAAATGAAAAGTAAAAACATTGTGTAGTAGTGCCTTTTGAAGGAAGCCCCCAGTGTGACACTTGTCAGTTGATATGTAGCAGATTCTTATTTTTATATGTCAGTAACGTGCAGCATGTGATATTGGTTTGTCTTGGTTCTCCTTATTGCTAGGGCCCACTCAATCCTGAGTGTCCCAGAAGAAGCTGTTGTGGATGAAGAAACCCAGCCACCAGACTGTTCCTCCATCACTGATGCTCGTAACAATGAATCTCTGTATCTGCTGGTCAAAGAACTTGACAGTAATCTAGATTTGAAATCTAAGATGCCAGACGATCGAGCAAGACAAGTAAGAGACACTGTTTCTGCCTAATTCTTCTCCGTTTTAAATTTCTTTCTTTCTTTTTTTCTTTTTTTTTTAACTGCCTTAGAAATCTTACTCATTATTTGAAAAATATTGATATTTACAAGATGACTTGGAATCACAAGCCAATCAACTCCCAGAGATGGGAGGCAAATGTTTTTTAACACTGTTGGAGAAAGGGAGAGCTTGTCACTCAGCATAAAACTATTGACTGATCTATCCTAAATACTGATGAAAAGCACACCGAATAAGAAATTTAAATTACTGTGAAAAGTGCTTTCTTCTAAAACATCTAACAGGCATTTGACTCAATATGTCTTGGGGTTTCCAGTAACTATGGTATTCTGTACAGCTGATAACTTTAGACTGGTCCTTCATGCTGCTTTCTGTAGATTGGCTGCTGTAATAGTTGCCTCCTTCCTCTATCTTTTTAGGAGTTCTACCAAAGGGAAGACTGCGAAATGATACTTGGGTGATACTCGTATATGCTATAAAAGTTCTTTTTTTCATCTTTGTTGTCCAGGTCTTGCATTCTCGTATCAACAATCAAACTATTACACAAGAGAAGATAGGAGCATTTCTCAGTCATGCTATCAGAAAGGTATGTCAGAAATTGTAGCATGAGGGAAATAAACAACTTGTATTTGATACTGATTTCTACACTTCTGAAGCCACTCAGTGATGTTCAAGACAAGCTCACTTGGTAGATGTAACTGAGGTGAAACTAACTTGATAATCTAGATTGACTGAAAAATTATAACTCTAGAGAAGCATCCCTTTCAGTTAGCTCAGGGTAGGCCAAACATCCCTGTAGTTATTTGTTCTTATTTCAGTTGCAGGAGGTTGTGAGTAGCATTGTGTTAGCTAATTCTGGCAGCTGTTTGCTTAACTGAGCAAAGCAGCTTGGAACTACATCAGTGTTCTGTGTTTCTTAATTGTCTTCCCTCTTTCACCTGTCCCTGCATTGCAAGAAAACCAACCTTCTGTCAATCTTTTCTGTCAGGATAATGAGCCCTCTGGGGCAAGGAGGGTAAATCTGTATAAGGCCCTGCAGAATGCCACCTCCGTTCTGCGCGGGGCCTCACAGTGTCAGCAAAGACAAATGACAGGAAGCGTTGAGACAGAGCTTGACTCTTTGATTTGTCAAGCTGATATTTCTCAAATTAACTCACTTACACACACTGCTTTGACACAAGTTGTATATGTATTGTTTTTAGTCTATAACAGTACCATTTACTACATGCATCTGTCTTAGCTAGAAGAAGAAAAATTAATAGTAGGAGTTAATTCCTGTTATTCTGTTGAGAACAATCCTATGGATATATAATGTTATACTGTTGCAGTGTGCAGGTATTTCGAATACAGTTTTCTGTTGCCTTCATGACAGAAGTCTTAACTTCTTGGCCATTTAGATGCTGGTGCAGGAGTACTGTTCTGTCATTCGCAATCTGTGAGCAATGAACTCTCCAGTGCGGCACTGCCAGTTTGTCTTTTTTCCACATCAAAAATGCTAAGTGTTAATAGTTTGTGAGGATTTAGTTTAAGAAAATGTTTGGAGACCTATGTATAGAGAGCAATTCACTGAGGAATTCAGTGTGGATAACATGTGAGTAATGTTACATATGTGCGTTGCAAAACTGAGGTGGTACATAATTTCTGATTCACATCTCAGTAGTATAGCTTCCTGAAATCTTCTAATGCACCTTGAAGTATACATAAGACTATCCTTTGTAAGGTTATTTTTAAAGCGTTGAAGAAAGTCTTTGCACTCATTAGTCATTTTCAACAGCGTTGCTGTAACAAAGCCGTAGTGGATTACTGCAGTGCTGCCCTTGTTTCCCAGCCTCTTCCAACCAAGCTGCATGTTTCTTAACACGCATGTAATTGGGCCTCAGACATGGAGGCTGGAGTAGACATTATTTTCAGTTGTTGCTTTTTTACTGTAAGTTCCTGATATAACATAGGATGCTGAGAATACTGACATCTGGATCATTAGTGTTTCTACATTATTTCAGATTGTTCCATCTGAAGGAGGATGTTCTACGCAGCTTTGTCAAAATTCGGAAATTTACTGTTTCTTTTCTAGAATGAGTGTGTGCTCTTCCTTCGATAGGTCAAAGAGAATTTAGAATATTCAAAGTATATATGACTGCAAAGTATATATTTCTGCATTTTTCTATATGCCCTCGTTTGTTTCTTGGTCTTTAAACAACATCTATCATATTGTCCTGTGTCATCTGCCCATAATACAAATAACTAGATTAACTAAATAAAACTAAATTTAAGGGGGAAAAAAAAAGCAATTCTGAGACCTTAAATTGATGGGGAATCTTGATGTTTGCCATAGGACCTAGAAGCATATCTAATTACTATTAAAAACTGTCTGACCTTCAAACCTGGCAACGTTTTTACTCAGATCTCTATTGATTTGCTTTGAGCCTGAAGTGAGTGACTAGCAAATGTAGTTCCCACAGGACAGCCAACCATTATCACCAGAATATTTTAAGGGGTTTTGTGGGGTCATGATAAAAGGGTCACGGGTTAAGTGTGTGAGCAGCAACTCCTACTAAATTACAGATCAGATAGTAAGTTGCATTAGTCTGATTTTTACCCAAGCAAGATAGAGGAAGCAATCTGCTAGAGTCAAAAGGTAATTTATGTCTAGTTAATAGGATAGTATGCAGGGCATTTCTTTTCTTTTCTTTTTGTAACTGAAGAGATGAGCCTACTTGTCTTCCCGAAGCAGCTCTCTGTATATTTTCCTTTTCTTTTTCCTTTTCTTTTCCGAAGAGATGAGCGTTCTTGTCTTCCCAAAGCAGCTCTCTGTATGTTTTCATTCTTTCCCCCAACTATCCTATAGCCAGAAGATCCACTGTGGCTTTTGCTTAATGAAGCTGGATTGTACTGGCGTGCGGTTGGAAACAGCACCTTTGCTCTTGCCTGTTTGAGAAAAGCAGTTAATTTGGCTCCACATGAATACCAGGATATCCCTCTAGTCAATATTGCTAACCTCTTGATTCATTATGGTCTTCATTTGGATGCCAGCAGGCTCCTGCTAGAGGCTTTGGCCATCAATACCTCTGAGGTAAGAAAGGTTTTTTTCTTGTCTTTTTTGTATTTGTTCAGTAGTAACTATCCTTTCCTTTACTTCATTAGTTCCTAGTTGCATGTTAGTTACTTGTGCGCGCTTCAGCTTCCAGTTCGAGGTTTGGAATGGATAGTAATTTTCACTTGAATTGTAGAGCTGGTCAGTGCAGATTGCTGAGCAAATAAACTTCTCACAGAAGACAGACTTTTTGCCTCCCAAACAATCAACAGGTGGTGGCAAGGACTGCAAATCTTGTGTTATGGTAGTATTGTCATCTGAAACAGAAATCCATACTGCTATCAGTCTTCCATTTGGCTTATTATTTTTTTTCCTTTTTTTTATTAGCACATGTGTCACTAAGGTCTTTGGCTTCATGGGCTTCTTTTTACGCCACTTGGATTGCTTCTATACTGTTCTGTTTGTCCCTAGATTTCAACTACATATCCAGAGGATTGTCTTTTCAATGCATTGATCAAATTTACTGCCAGTCATAGATTCAAAACAGTGGGTTTTTTTCTTTTATGAATGACAAAAATATAAACATTTTGCAGATTGTTGCTTATCTCATGCAGAAAGTAGCTATATAAATTATGAGACTGGACAAAACAGGAAAGGAAAGATGGAATAAAATAAGACGGGATCTGGAGTTACCCAAGGATAAAGTTATCCATATCTCACTATCCTCATTTTGGCAAATAATTTTGATCTTTCTTATGAAATACTTCAGAAGGGTATTACTGTAGTGAATTTTTCTGTGCTCATACCTCTGTGGTTAAATAAACAGAGGACTAAAAAAACTCCCAGGGCGGTAATCAATCTTACAGGAAAACAAGCAAACGGAATTAAATTTTTGTAATTTAACATCCAGGAGCAATTTTTGCTATTGTTGGAAAGCAGCCTAGCCAATTTGGCTTGCAGGTACAAAAAGGAACTATAGAAAGCACTGTTCTTCTATGATGTACCTTAACAAGAAAACTTGAAAGCACAGAACTGGAAGCTTCCTTGGGGTCCTTAGGACTAGACTGCATGAGTAGGATTTTTCTTTCAAAGCAGTGGCCAATTTTACCTCATTTCAATAATGCCTGCTCCCATTATGTTCAGGCAGCCCAGTCCTTTAATACCTATTGTATCAAAAAACCTGGCAGGAGCATTTGTGCTTAAATGGAATTTCCTGTAATGTAATGGAAAGTAAATATGAATGGGACAGGATTATAGCTGCAGATAGGGAAATATGTGCTGTAATAGCAAAAGCTTTAAAAAATGTAGATCATAAGGAAATAAAACCTGCTGATCAGTGTTCAAAATGTAAATTGGACTGAATTCAACAGCCTTATAAACAAGAAATTACTATTTGGCAAATTTTGTGGCATCATCCAGTTGCTCAGCTTTTGCTTCTTTCTCATTCATGCTTAGTAGAGCCTAAGAACAGTCTGAAAAATCTGACGCTATTGATTGGTCTCCAGACTTTCAGATGACGAATGTAAAATTCTTTCAATGGGGAAAAAAAGTTACATTATTTTAGTCATTCTTCTGGCATTATCTTGTTAATTTCAGCAAATTTCTCTGTGCAAGTGAAAGACAGTTTTGAAAACAAAATGTAATTCTTTGCTTTGTACTGGTATTAAACTGATCATTAAATTTTACCCAAAGAAAAAACTTACACTTCAAAGGTTTGAAAATAAACCCAAATACACACCACAAACTGGTATGAAACTGGCATTTTGAGTAGCTTCGTTCTGGTAGAGTAAATCCTAAATACTGTAGACAAATCCAATGCATCTCTATTGCCAGAAAGCTAGTAATGCCTTTACATTCTCTGCTTTTACGCATACTAAAAATATCTCTAAGCATTTCATTTTAATTCTCGACTACTCTGTGCAGTGAGTGTTATGTTCATGATGGGTTATAAATAAGTACTTGATTTTCATCTTGGTGCGTATTTATGTAGAAGTGGTGGTTTTCCTCTTGGAAAATGGGAATCCTAAACATGACCCTTATGTTAAAACAGCTCTCCTTCAGCATCAGGGCAGCAGGCAGGTATTAGTCCTGCATTCGAGGAAC